CACCCACACCACCCACACCCACCCACACCCCACACCCACACCCACACCGACTCCCACACCCACACCCACACCCCACACCCACACTGTCTCCGAGATTTCATTGTCATGGATGAGGCAGTCGATTTTTATTCTTTCGCATGTTATAAAAGTCTTCTTGCTCAATAATAGAAAAAATTATTGATTAAAAAAAAAGACTTCAAAACTCAATTGAAATTCAAACACATGCAAAATTATTTGTGGACATATTCAATTAAATAATAGTATAACTCATTATTGTTTACAGTGTTTCTTCAGTATTCTTTTCTTTGTCATTAACAATGGTATTGTTGTTTGTTTTTCAGAAAACAAGCCACATATATCATCGACGGTCATAGACGAGTCAATTCGTATTTGATCAGCATCCAATGCATATAATTCATAGACGTAAGTATCTTCTTTTACAATACAAAATGCTGAACAAGCTTCGTCTAATACGATTGAAACAAGTGTTCCTTTATTACACGGTAATGTAATTGTATTATTTTCATATGTTATTAAACAACTTATAACAGCCTTGCAAACTAAATGCAATTGAATATTGGTTGAATCGGAATCGATCGCATCCAGTGACATTTCATTATCATCCAAAATAACATCATCCATCGTCAATTGATACAATTCATTCTTCACATTTAACAATTTACATGCAATTTGACATATACGTTCAATTGTGATTTCATGGAGACAATGAAATTCTATTGAATATTTTTCATTATTCAAAATTGTAGACACTTGCACTGTAACTGGTAAATTGCCATTAATTAGGGTAAATCGAATAGTTGAATTTTCTTGTAAAGGATTTAGTTTAGTTGCCATTGATGGAACAAAATCATTCGCACATAAAAGATGTTGGTATTTATCGTCAATGTTGTTCTGTTTGTAGACAGCAGCAAGTGTTGTATAGACTAATAATTGTTGATATGCTACATTTCCTGCGGTAGTTTTCGTACTTTGTGATTCATTTGATGTTCCAATTGAAACAACACATGTTTCACTCTCTTTGACAAAAATAAATTTTCTTTCATTTAAATTTGAAAGTTTTTCGTTATTCGATATCACTTGTTGTGTTTTACTTGAGGCCAAATATTTGTATGAATCATGTTTCAGTTCCGGTAATTGAAGAAGATCTCCGATAGTTGCATTTCTATTCGATATTTGTATTTGCATTTCTAATACTTTTTCATATGTTGATATTTCAATTAATAAACATATTCGTAAATGAATAGATTCATCATCACTAACCAAATAAGAACCAATAGATTGTTGCATACTGTCTTCTGATATTATCTGGTTATTTCTGTCTTCTAGAACAAGAACGCGATCACGCGGAGAAATTTCCAATTCTAATGGTTTCAATAATTTTTCATTGTTCAGTAGATCACTAAGCGGTAAAGACTTTAAAGTCAAAACTGTTTCTCGGCTGGTATCATAGGACAAAATAACATTGATTAGAGCATCTGGACCAATGCAATCAATTATAGTTGGCGTAGTCTCTTTTATTGTTGAAGAAATTGTTTGATTTTCGTAAATCACAAACTTTTGATCTCTATGCCAATAAACATATTCACCAACGGAAGAATCCAATACTGGCATGTGAGTTTTTACCCATAAATTAATGTGTTGCCATTCTGTATTGGGATGAAATACTGCGTTTATACCTTCAGCTGAAAGATATTAATAACAACATGTTAAATTACAGTATTCAAAGTATAAAAGATTTCAATCATTTCTCAGAGAGTGCATGAACGGCGAGTGAGATATTTGCACTTTTCTTTATTGGATAACAGGGTAATACGACAGTTGAGTCTTCATTGATTAATTACGAAAGAAACAGAATCAATATTTCATCAACTTGTCCAACAAAATTCATGAAAACGAGCACACTTTGAAAATTTTAATTCTCTTATGCAGCATGCTTTAGTGTTCGATCTTATGCTATTTCTACTATAGTGTCAATTGTAAAATCCTCAAAGACAAACAGGGACCAACTTGAATAAAGTTGTTGAGTATTGACTTTGTTCCCGATAATTAAATGATGAAGGCTCAACTGTCGGTACCAGTGCCGGAGCCAGGATTGTGGGCTGGGGGGGGCGGGGGGGGGGGGGGGGGGGGGGGCTCAGCTCTCGAAAATATTTTTGACTCATATTAGGAATATGAATTTCTTGTATTATCTCGATATAGAGTGAATAGTTCTCTTTGGTGATCCTTTCCTCACAATATAAGCTGAACGAACAAGTAAAACAAAAATGTTCAACTTGGGTGTGGGTGTGGGTGGGTGGATGTGAATATGGGTGTGGGATGTGGGCCTGAGGATGAGTTTCTTCTTTATCAACATCCACACCCATCAAGTTGATGGATCATATGTATGGTGTAAATTATAATTTACAATTGTATAGAAATGAAATATAAAAATGCAACATAGATGGAAATGGAAATGGAAACATAAATATATCAACATATATGTTATCAGTGACGTTTGGAACGTAATAAGTTTTTCAGAATTGAGATTTTTATTCAAATGTGAGAATAAAATTCTGTTTAAACTTTCTTCTTCTTCTTTCTTTATTCTTCTCTTCCTTTTAAAATTTGGACGCTGATATGAGCAAGATAATGGCATTCGGACGTGTAAAGTTAATTTTCTTCGTCCATGACAGCACACTAATTTTGGGAAGAAAGGAGAACAAAGAAGAACAATAAAAAGAAGAATGGTCAGTCGGAAGTTTATTCCCACATTGGAACACAATTTTCAACTCTGGAGAATTTACTAGGGGTCGGCAGTTACCGTTCCCAGACCGTTACCCGGTAACGGTAACGGTAACGGTTCACACGGAAGAAGTTACCAGTTACCTGGGTAACGGTAACGGTCCAGTTACCAGTTACCCGGGAACTGGTAACGGATCCGTTACCAGTTACTCGGGAACGGTAACGGCCCGTTACCAGTTACCCGGGAACGGGGTAACGGTACTACTATTGGGGCATACCCTTAGGTCCTTAAGTCCTACTATTGAGGGATACCCTTGGATCCCCAAGTCCTGCTATTGGGGGGTACTCTTGCGTTCTCAAGTCTGACTACTGAAAAGTACCCAAGGGGGTTCAAACTTTTTGCCCCTATTGCGAGGACACGGGATGGGCATGTTTGGGCCAAGCATAGGGTTATCGAGGATGCTCTATCGATTGATGGGTATATGTGGGG